CATAAGCATTGTGGATGGAGTTTTGAAGCTTTTGCCCACCTGAAGCAGCAGTATACTGCTGTAATATGTACTGAGCAGATGAAGATTCCTGAAAAAATTAGAACGTAAAACAAATTACAGAAAATTCCTTCCATGGAAATCTAGAGCAACTAGTCCAATTCTTGAATTTAGCATTATTTCTGTTAAAATAACCACCCCTGGCATGCTTACAAAACTCGATAGCAGATCTAGATTGAAAAAACACAACCCCATGTAGACAGCCATATTATAATCCATCAAAATCCCACCTTTCTTTTCCTTGATCAAACACTATGCAAATGAAATTATCTCATTGATTTCATTAAATTTTTTAGCACATTATCTGAAAATTGCACCTGACTTTAAAAAATTATAAATGAGGCTTTTAAAATCAAAGGAATAAAATGCAGCATTAGGGAAGAGAGAGAGAGAGAGAGAGAGAGAGAGAGAGAGAAGGCTCACAATAGGGGTGTTTTTAATGCTGAGGTGGGGAAATGACTCCAACGCACTAACATGCACCGGCGCGAGCGGCGCACCTAAGACTCCAAGCAACAACCTCAGATCGGAGCGTTTACACGTCGAAGACGAAGCGGAAGGACCGCGTGACAGATGACCTTTCATCCACTGGGCCCACCTACCTTCTGTCCTAGAGTCTTCGCCGTCCGTTCCATCCGGATCGGGACCTTCTCTCAACGGCGACAAAGCTTCCGCCGACCTCAAGCCCCCCGACCTAAAGAAAAACGGCTTTGAGTGGAGGATGTAGTTCTTCCTCCTCCGCCGCAATAAGCTCGACTTTGGCGATGCATTCCTCGCCGGACTTTTAGCTCGCGACCGACCTGGGGACAACCCCTGTTTTCTCTCCATTTCGACGTCGGAAACCCAAAATCGTAAGAGTTTATCGTTAAGCTTGGCCACCGTTTTCCCCTTTTCTGGTATTAAAGCGTGCCAAGTGATAGTCCAAAAGTATAAAAAGGGAAGCAGCAGAAGAAGAAAGATATGGGAACAGGGACAAGAATTGTACAATGAAAAAAGCAGCTAACGATACTGAGAGGTAAAAAATATATAGTTCGTAAATGAAAAGAAAAAAAACGAGAGAATGACGTTAATAATAAAACTAATTATTCCCGCGAGTCAAGGCTGAGTTAGGTAGGCCTGTCACGCCGCGGTTTACGATTCAAATCAATGATTCACGTACAAATATATTTATATATGAATTATGATAGTGAAAAATTTCTAAATTTTATATATATTTTAAGTTAATTAAATTTAATAATTGTGACTCAAATTGAATTTTGAGAAACAATTCGATTTTTTCGTAGATATCCCTTTAATAATTACAGTTTGTCTTTTGATAATTATTAAAAATTTGATGAGTGTATTGGTATTATTTGTATGTATTACTTGTAATGTAATTGTGTTTCATGTCAGATTTTAATTGATTTTGTATTTTTCTGATAATGAAATTGTGAAGGGCCTGACAAATTATTAAAACTATGAAGAAAAGGGATTAATAATAATAATAATAATAATAATAGCATGCTAAGCGTGTCATAATGTTTGAAATAGGATGTGGTACAATATGAAATGAAGGATGTCAAGTATCTCTGTTGTAAAACAACATCTTCAACTTGATAAAGAAAGAAGATAAAAATCAACAATTAAAATCAATGACATCTAAGGTAATTTTAATTCGTGTGAAAAATAAGAGACTAGTAGAAATATTGAAAAAAACAAAGTATCGTGCGTTGTAGAGATAAGCTCAAATTAATTCATATTTATATAATTTTAATCTAAATATCTATGAAACATTTAAAAATAGAGTCAAAATGAGATGTACAAAGAATTCAGTATTTGTTTATATATTTAATCATTTAACTGTACTTAATGTTTTAACATTGTTTTCTTTGAAAATTCAATAGTAATAGATTATTATTATATATATACATACTTTTCTATATTAATTAGTAATATATAAATGTAACTTATCAAATAAAATAATGTGAATATATATATATATATATATATATATATATATATATTCACATTGAAAGTTTAATTATATATCAATTTTTTCCGGCGTTTTACCCTGACTAATACAGATTGATCCACGTCGCATATATGATTTTGGTGAGTAAGTCTCCTAGTAAAAATTTTCTGCATATACAATGGCTCGAACTTGAGACTTACTTAAGCGATATCAAGCTATATATCAAGCTATATTTCACTTGAATCAACCCCGTTGATAATTATATACCAAATTTAATCTCAAAAAAGGGAGAGTAATTATAAATAAAATAATAATAACTTAAATTTTAATTTAATTTTTAAAATAGAAAGAAATGAAATTTAAAGAATAATGTAATCTTATTAATTTTAAAACTAATGCAAATTTAATTATGTCAGCAAACGAGGACGGTAATTGGCAACTAAGAGGAAGAAACATGAAAGATTGAGATCTGAGTTTGGATAAACTAAAAGACTCATTTTAGGTGTCCTTTTTATTTTTCATTTCCCATATTTCACCTCCAAATTGGAAGCTTTGAACCAAATATTTATTCCACATATCGACATACATCACAGTGAAGAATACATATATTATCATTTTGTCAAATCATATATTCTTTTTTACAACATCATGGGTTAAAATGTTTCACCGCCTTGTATCGATCTGACTGGAATGGACCATCGTTCTCGTTCTGAGTAACTCCAGAAGCATGCATTCTATGCAAAGATATAGTATACATGAAAACTTTGTATCAAATGTTCCTGAGTTAAGATTGAAGAGACTGAAGCTCTTGCTCCTGGACAGGAGAAGCAACGGGCTCATAAGCTGTGATCGATTGCCGTCTGAATCGAAGAACCAACCATATCCCAATAGCTGACAAACTAAGAGTTGCGATAAACCCGAGTACCACGGCTAGATAGTGATGTCGCCACCATGACCTGTGAAAACTCCCGTAAGAGCCCGATGTTAGTTTTGAAACTATACCATTAGAAACAGTAAATATCATAGGTAAGAAACATTCTCAAAAAGAAAAAAAAAAAGAAAGACTCGAGCTGCATTGCTCTCAATCCGTACGGAAGTACAGATTCGTATTTATACAGAATTAATGTGATTGCGTTTGCTCGGGACGGGAGTGAAAGTGAACTTGACTTTCTTCTTTCTATAGGGCGCCCATTACGATGAGATCGGTCTCGTGACTCCGTTCCTCTCAAAACAGACGAGCTGCCTTAAACTCCTCTCGCGTGTGGCTCGAGGTTACGAAGTACGGCTGAAAAGAGAGGAACGAGGGTACGCAACCAAAGGAAGGGGAATTTTTTCAATCCTATTAATCTGGGTGAAATCTCGAAATCTACGAAGGAACGCCAAAAGCGAAGGCAGCTCTCTGGGTCCCTACCGACGCTGGGGTGCGAAAGCATGGGGAGCCCCAACTTCAACTGTATGGCCATCCCACTTCATCTTTCTATAATCAAAAGCATTCTGGCATCCTAGTCCTACCATTCAACTGCGACCTTAACTTCAGGGGCTCCAAAAATTTGTTCATCACAATAGAATCCTAGCCGATTTAATCCAAAGTAGTAAAAAGCATACAAGGAATAATGAAGACGGAATGGAAAAAGAGAACATACGACTTCCTTTGAGGTTCAGCATTCCATTCAACTAATTTATAATTCCCAAATCTCTCGGGAAACTGCATATGGCGATCCCTTAAGCGCAGGATAATGCTCTGCGCATGATAAAGGAAAATAAGATCCATGATGTCGTAAATAGATGGAAAACAATGAATTTCAACTCATAAATATGTATATCTCTCAGTAGTGGTCATACCAATGCAGTGGAATTAGAAATATAATTAGCAGATGAAGCAGGAAAAATGCCCCATCTAACAAGGTATTCATTCCCCTTGGAAGTGACATTCAGCAGGCGAACCTGAAACATCGAACCAATAGCATAAATATGGAAAAATAGATGAAGGCTAATTGCTAACTGTCAAACATAGAGATGCATACAGAAACAAAATGACACTTGGGAGTTTTATCTTTGTGCTTAGGCCAAGTGCACATAGTGGATCAATATATGCCCACTCAACAGTACCCACAAGAAGAAACCCACATAATTACATACAAGAACAAAGTATAATTCCAAGTTTAAAGTTAAATACTAGATATGTTCAGGGCCTAATTAGAGTTGGGTTCAAGGTGGCTTTATGCATAAAATCTAGAGCTCAGGCCAGAAATAAATCTTCGTCTGGACCTGGATGGTTTTTTTTATCGGGGCCTACCTTTTCTACCTTAGTCCAGCCCATCCAAATTTAGAGTGGGCTAATAGACTACCTGACAGGTGAACACATCTACTTAAATCTGCAAGTAACACGTATTGACAAAACTACAAGATTCCAACAGTGATTCAATATATATGACATCATGCTTAGAAATATGATTTAGATTACATTGCATCAATAATAAAAAATGACATTTCTTCCTAAAAGAAGTGAAGCAATAAATAAAATATTTTAAAAACACTCCAATGCACATCCTCAAATCTAATTCCCACAAGGCCTAAAAGACCTGGTTAGAGTCAAGGAAATTCAGCAGCAACTGTGAATTATCCACTTCCAGTTCCTTGGAAATCAATTCTCCAAGCTCCTTGAAGTTGAGCTTCGATTTGGAATCATTTGTGCTAATTGACATATCAAATGTTATAAATCCAACATGAAAAGAACCTGATTATCATGTTTGGGGAGACAATATCATCAGAGGAAATGTACATTTACAAGATCAATTTGTATAAATGCTTGCATCATTATCACTAAAAGTACTAAGACTATCACCAGTCTAAGTGTCGAACAATTAAAAAAAAAGCACCGCATCATGCAAACACCATTATTATAAAGCAATCAATAAGCTCAATCCGCTAGTACAAAACGATGATCACAGGCTAAACAAGATTGGAAAAAAAGGATGTGATCCAAAATTAGGCCATCTCAACTAAAATAAGCTTTAAATGCAAGCACAAAATTTGTATCCAACTAGAAACCAGATTATAAATGAGAAACATGTATATTCTGTCAGGGTTTATCTTGGATACCTTGCAATGGATCTTCTTAATACTACGAGTGGGGTTAAAAGGCTGCCACATGCCCCACTTATTTATTTATTAATTCTTTTAATAATACCCCGAGGGATATCTTTCATCCTTCCAACCCTGCTTCAAGAGTCTAAATACTCCACTGGAAGTGTATTAGATAACTTCTCAAACATATAATATCCTTGGGGCTGCATTAATGCTATTTATCAGTAACTATAAGCCCTTGTTAATCTACAAAGCAATTTTATGCTTATCAGTAACTATAATATCTTTCAATGAATAACAAATTTTATCAAGATTACAAAGCAAAAGAGTCATAGCCTCCTCACAAGAGGAAACTTCTTTTAAGAAAGAAAATAAATAAAAAGAAAGAGAATTCATTCAACTACCCATCAAGGTGACTGAAAAACTGGGTGGGTCTAATTAGCAGTTAAAGTTTACAGACTTCTTGGAGGTCTATTATAAATATGGTACCGTTTTGCAAATACCAACAAGATCCTTATTTTATGTTTCTAATTTCCATCAATGTTCTGCACTAGCAGAAGTTTCCAACCAAGTACAGCATCTCTGTTTAATTTTTGTAATTTTTTGTCTGCCTTAATTTTATGTTCACGAGACAAGAGCTACTAACCTATATAGAAGAAAGTATACAGCATCTCTGTTTAATTTTTGTAATTTTTTGTCTGCCTTAATTTTATGTTCACGAGAAAAGAGCTACTAACCTATATAGAAGAAAGTACATAAATTGTGATCATGATACATCAATTCATGGAATGGTGCAAGGGAAGAAACCAGGGAACATGGGAAACATTGTGAGGAAGCAAGTAATATGCCATGCACCTGGAAGAACATTTGGTGGTGATCCACTTGGGGTTGGTGCCGGAGTAATTTCCCCGTTACTGTCATTGCTTTGAGAGACCAAAAGAGCTGGTGCAGGGGCATCAGATGAAGGCACTCTCCTCCACAGTTCAGAACAATTATTTTTCAAAAAGCCTATACTGTCATTACCCCGATCATAGGTCACTAAGGTGTTCCGGACAACAATTCCTGCCGCAAAATAAAGTTACAAAAGTAACAGATTATTACTGCAGTCATGCAAAGAAGCAAGATATATTGAGTTGGAAAAGCGTAAAATCCAGACAGGCCCATGTATACTGCAAGAACCTTGGACTTTTCAAAACTATGACTTACTATGCTACACACAGACATAGAGGGAGAGGAAGCTTTTTGTTTCACGAATGAAGGAACATACCTCCTAAAAGAGTGGTCGATTCAGTATTTGGGAATATTCCCAAGCAATATGCACCACTAAGCTTTCTGTGCTACAAAGCATGCCATTTAAGAGACAGAAACAAAAGAGATATGTGTTAGATAGCAATTAGAAAAGCTAGCACAGAATAGGAAATTCAAAAATGTCTTATAATCACTTAAATTAGCTTTGCCACCAACCAGGGACCCATTTTGGTCTTCAAGAAATTAAAGTAATTACCCGGAACAGGTAGTTTTCTGGAGACAGTAATAACTTATTTCCATTGTTAAATACCAACTCAACCTCTGGGAAAATTTTTGATAGCTGGGAAACATCCCTGCATTACATTTCAAGAAAAACCATTGAGATGAAATGGAATACAATAAATTTCAGCATTCAACGAAAAGGTCATTGGCAACACCTTCCAGCACCAGAAACACATGTATCATCAAAATTAGGGTCAGGACCACGAACCCTTTTGAGAAAATGAACTTCTCTTAGGATCTGCATTAACAAAGCCGAGTAAACATGCAGAACAGGTCTGAACATTAGCATTCAGATACGTAGATGCTGATATTTATGTTAATAAAGGTTAAGCTTACAAATTAAAGACGATTACAAATAAATTCAGTATCGGAATATTTTGAGTTACAGCAGCAAGTATAGAACACACCGACATTAAGTATTTTCAAAAAAAAAAAGATTTAACAATGGCAGCTGCCACAATGTTTTTCAAGATGGAGGCATAGACCAAGCAACAGTTGATGGAATACTAGACCCTAAATGGCTAGATCACACAATCAATCTCCAATAGTCATAGAACATGTTAATTATTCAGGGCTGCTACAATAACTTAACAAATGCAAATTACACAAATTCACTTAATAGGTTACTAGTAGTATGTTATTTTTCCTAGACAAAATGTAATGGCCAGTTTCCAACAACAATTTGAAAAGCGGACCATACATGCTTAAGGAAATAATCATGCAGAATAGACATGCTTCAAACTTCAGAAAGGAACAGGACCCGTAAACGAAAAGTTCCAGAAATTGGATGATTACACAGATCGTACCAATATTTAAGAAGTAACATCTCCAAGTAGTTGGAAATAAATAAATAAATAAATAAAGTAGTTTTCATATGATGGCCAGTTTATATGACATTGTAACTCAGATATATTAATACGTATATGTACTTGGTCCCTACACAGATCCCTTGTCATATAACTCCTATATGGTAAATATATAAATTTCCAACTCTATCTTCTTGAAGTAACAAAGATTAAAACAAATGAAAAAAATGAGTAGTTATTCATTTATTAAAGAACATGTAAATGCAACAAAACCCCATGCTTCTAAATCTCCCATGCAAAATCAAAAACTTTTTCTAAACCTCAAACAATAATCATGGTTTCTGTAAAGCAATATTAATCATAGAATAAAAAGGAGAACTTGACTAGCAAATAAACTACACATAGAATGAAGCTCAAAGCAATTAGATCTTACAGCAGATCGAGATGCAACAAAAGCATCTTCTGGTAAGTAAGCATATGTTGTGCCACTGTCCAAGACTGTTCCATGCCTTCCATCAAAGACACCAGCTGGTAACTTCAGTCTCTTTCCGGCAACATGCATTTCCTTTAGCTCAATGTTATAGTAAAGGCTGTTGAGATTCAAAAACTACAGTAAATGAATAAGAAGAAACAGATGAAGTCTTAGGAAAAATGCATCCACAACTACAATACTGCAAGAGAAGTGTACTTGCGGAAAGGGTCTGAATGGGAGAACACCATTTCAGGGGGAGGAGTGAAATTTCCGAGAACCATTGCACCTCCACCAACATCCATCCCACCGTAACACAAAGAAAATGAATCACCAATAGCATTCTTGCCAACTAGTTGATCCATGATACTAAGCTGCCCCCGACCCAAGCCCATTATACCATCAGCCCTTTGGCTGTATAGGTACCCGTTTCCCTATTTTCACAACCAAAAACAGCACGCTGTGGAACAAGTTCACTTTCATGCCCAAAAGAAATAACATCCTCCCCAAGCACACCACTGCTGGAACTCATCTCAGCATAGCGTCTATCATAAGTGCATTGCTTTTTCTCATCATCACAATTACAACTCGGATTGCATTTTACAGGTTGATAAGTGCTAGACAAATCCGGTTGGAACCTTGGATCCTGGATTCCAAAAAGATATTAATATTGCCAAAAAAAAACCACCAGTTCCCCAAATTAATTTCTAACCAACAGATCCGTAAATAAAGAAATTAGAAAAAGGCAAAACTCACTTCCTTATGAGGACACGATAAAAATCTAAGCCTCAAAATCGCCGTAATTCTACTAAACTAATAACTTGCTAATTTCAAATAGTTACAATCGAAAATTAGGAAAGTTGAACTTCACGACTTCGATACGGAACCGAACCTGATGCTTGCCGCAATGTGCACAACTGGAGCAAGGAACGTAAGTTACAGTACTACCGTTGTCGACAATAAGAGCGAATTCCTGAGGAGGCGTTCCAATCCACAATCGAGTAGTATAATAACTGCAAATCACCAAAAAGAAAAAGAAAACTCAAATATTTCGATAATGCAAAAAGGAAAAGAAAAGAACAAATAATTTAATTTATAGGAGAGGGACCCGTTGGAGAGGAGATCATCGTAGAGTCTCATAAGAGCGTTTGGAGTGGAAGGAGAGAGTCCCGATTGCAGGAGATGACGGCGGATGTTGCCCAAGTGCCGTTGCTGTGAATGATTGCGTGAGGATAGTTGTAGAGGGAGGAGCATCGGCCGTCGGTGGTGATGTTTTGCATCGACGGAGAAGAGACTGAAGCAGATCACGGCGTTGAGAAATAGAAAGGAGGATGTTAGGTGAAGAAAGGTTGGAGCCATGGCGAGTTATGGAATGGGGTCAACGACGACAGACCACTGTAAGTAAACAAATGACCCGATACATAGATTGCACCCCCCTTTCAAAATGGGAAATATGCTCACTACTATTATTCTTGTTATAGTTCTATCCAATCACAAAAATCCACTTAACCACGTATGTTTACTCAAACAGTAAATTTTATTATGAAGGTATACTAAAAAAGTAGATTTACAATTATAAGATTTTGTATAAATCAATTTCTTTTAATTTTTTACACAAATTAAAATTAAAAAAATTATTTTATATGAATTAAATATTAAAAAGATTATCATTTAATATATCAACTTCATAATCGTATTTTTAATTTAATAAGGTCAAAGAATTATTGTATATCTTATTTATTTATTGTTTTTAAATATCAATTAAGGACGTAACAATATTTTAATCTCACCTTTAGAGTTAAAAATTTTACTCATTTTATTTTTTTATTTATTAATATTAAATATATATTTAATTACCATTCATAAAATGTTCACAATAATAGATCAAATTTTTAACTTTAAAAATCATTACAATATTGTAATATTGCTCCAAATCTAAAGGTATTAGGCACAACACAAATATATTTGAATACATTAATATCTCCAAATCTATGCAATAAATAACTTATTAACCTCTCAAAATTTATATAATATTGCTCCAACACCACACAAATAAGGGCTGTATTTGTTCAATATATCAAGGGAAATAAAGAAAAGATTAGGATAAGTGTTGTTTTTAGGGT